ATTTAAAAAAAAAAAAGAAATCCAATCCACTGTGCCCCAACTTCCCCTATTCAAAGACACCTAAATGAATCAGATTCGGATTTAAATAACGATCTCATTACTGTTGAACCAAATGCTGATTTTTCTATGAACGAAAAACTTCATCTTTTTCTTAAAAAATAAACAAACGAGAATAAAGGAATAACTGTTTTAGAAGAAAGTAACACAAAAGGTCTAAAAGAAGTTACAAAAAAAAAATTGGAGTACTTTCGACAAGAAAATATACGAGAGAAGAACAATTAAATAGTTTTTGACTATTTGATGACCATTCGTCCAACAAAAGTTGAACCTAAAAGAGTATTTTCAGGAGCTGGACTAATTTGTACTAAAATTAAATCTCGATTAGAAGATAAGACATTGGATAGTTTAAGCTTTCTACGAAGCTACTTTTTGAAAAATGATATTTAATAAAAATGGTATTATAAAAATTGTATTGATTTATTGATATATACAGTTTATCGGTAATTTACCGATTTACCGGTATTACAATTTTCTTTTACCGAATTACCGGTAAATCAAAAAATTGGTAAGTTTACAAACCCTACTACATAACATAGCTTTGCCACTAGTTACTGAATAACGACAATTTTTTAGCCACTAAATATATATAGTGATTTGCCAAATAAAAACCCACGATTTGAAACATATCGTGGGTTTTTATTTGGCAATTTTAAAACATGTTGATAGTTACATAATTTTTTACTCTGTTTTTTATTTCTAAGTGCCTAATTGAGTTTTATAATTGATAAGTTATTGTTAATTAGTAAGTATTTTACTAAGTAAAATGTTGTACGTTTTTTAAAACATTTTACTAAAGAACTAATAATTTACTAAATTTTAGTTCTTTAATAAAATGTTGTACGTTTTTAAGCCTATCGAAATTTAACAATATAAAAAAATAAACGACATAATTTCTGCATAAAAGTCATTTATACTTCCTTCTAAACAGTTTGGCAATCAATTTATCCAAAAAGGTTGTATAGAAATCAAATATAAAAGTTTGAAAAATGAAAGGAAGTGATTAAGATAGAACTTTACATTACTTCCTTTATGCTGTTTGAACAAATTTGAGCACAACAGGTTTTCAGCATTTTTATTTTCGGTTCTTAACAACTTCTTGGTTCTTTTATATCCACTTCTTCGCGTGGTTCAACTTTTTATTAAGTTTTTTTTCTAACCACTTCACGTCTTAATCTTTTTTAACTCTTCTTTACATGACTTTCTTAACCACTTTTTTACGTGATATACCTATTTATTTATCGTACAGCTAACCTTAACACTTTCTCACATAACTTAATAAAACAACACCCTATTACAAATCAATTTTTAATTAAAAAAAAAATAAATAAATGATAGGATGCAGTAATAACAAATGACGCAAATATTACTACATATTTCTTAACTAAAAATTACATCATTTTTTGGCACGTCTTCATAATAATTTTTTATAACATTCTTAATTATCATAAATTCTTTAATCCTCTTATTCTTCGCGATTTTATCGCCCCTTTTAACATGACTACCGATGCAATTGTTTTCGTGTGACGTCATAGATTCTTAATCAATTAGTATACAGTAAAGGATACTAAAAAGTTTACCGTAAACAAGTTTTTTTTAACCGTTTGTAACAAGTTTGTAACAAGGTTTTAATGGTTTACGTAAAACAAATGTGTTTTTTTTTTAATTATAAAAAATGTATTATTAGTAGTAATACTACACCAGAATTTGTATAGGTAAAAAAAGTCTCCATTGAATATTATTTGGCTTGACTAAACTTTAGTCAAATTGGAAAAGTCATTTCTATGCGTTAGAAATGAATTAACCAATTTTTAACATTCGTTTTGAATATAAAACTAGTAATTTATTCAATTTTTATTTAGTTTTATTTAATTTTATTTGCATTTATTCTATAAACCATATTTTATTTTTATATTTACCATTTTATTTGATTTTATTTGTATTTATTCTATAAATCACTCCGACAAAAATATTATTTTAATTATATAAAACGAAACTTTGATCCAAAAATTTAAACATTTTTTCCTAATTAATATTTAAATTGCTTGTTAACTTAAAAACAAACGCGAAATTATTATTTTATACGCTTCTGCCTCAGAAGGCTGCCTCCATTTTGCCTTTAAAATTTCAATTAGAGACGGCCACCATTGATTTCTGCCTCCCTATCTGTGTCGGCTTCCAAAATATTTTCCCTCCAAATAAAAATTCTGGCAGCGGCCGCCAATAGAAAAGCAGAAACCACTGGAGGTGGACGAAAGAACATTTTGCCACTAAAAAATTATTATAATTTTGAGACAGCTGCCAACTGCTGCCAAAGAAAAGTGAAGGCAAGAAGATTTACGCCGTTTATCAACACTTATCTAGACTATACAAATAGGAAAATTGCAACAAAAAATAAAATAAAAAATAAAAATTTAAAAAAGAAAAGAAAAAATTAAATTGC